GCAACACAAGAAAAAGTTTTAGCATAGTGTTCTCTTTGCTGATAAATTAGGCCTGGAGATCTCCCAGAATTATAACTGATCTCCAGACAATAGAGATCAATTCCCCTGGAGAAAATGGCTGCTTTAGAGGGTAGACTCAATGACATTATACCCCGGTGAGGTCCCTTACCTTCCCAAATCTTGCCTTCCCCCAGTTTCACCCCCAAATCTCCCAAGAATTTCCCAGCCTGGAGTTGGCAACCCCATAAGGTCAGTAATAGAGTACATGCTTTGTATGTGCAGGGTCTATCCCTGGCATCTCCAGTTTAAAAAATTGGTGTGTGTGTGTGTGTGAACAGGACTGAAATGGAAGAGGATTATTTAAGTGGCAAAAAGTAAGACCTTTGGCAGGTAAGGCCGTGTCAGTTTTAAGAACATAAGAACATAAGAGATGCCAATGTTGGATCAGGCCAAAGGCCCATCCAGTCCAACACTCTGTATCCCACAGTGGCCAGAAATACCAGTGCCATCAGGAGGTCCACCAGTGGGGCCAGGACATTAGAAGCCCTCCCACTGTTGACCCCCCCCCCAAGCACCAAGATGACAGAGCATCACTTGCCCCAGAGTCCCTATCTATACCTTGTGGCTAATAGCCACTGATGGACCTCTGCTCCATATGCTTATCTAATTCCCTTTTGAAGCCGTCCATGCTTGTAGCTGCCACTATTTCCTGTGGCAGTGAATTCCAAGTGTTAATCACTCTTTGGGTGATTAAGTGTAAAGACGAAGGGCCATAAAAGTTAGTAAAAGTTAGTAAAGACGAAGGGCCATAAAATGTGTGAAAGGCAATAAACTGATCAAGCTCCATAGCAACAAGTCTCTAATTGCTCTCTAAACCACTGATAATTAGAGGGTAGTTTTATGATGATGGCACCATCAACTGGCTAATATTCAGTTGCAGACAAAACAGGAATAAGGGTGATCAGTCAAAATTTTTGTAAACAGGATGCCAGATGCAGTACTAAGGACAGTCACACAGTTACAGAGGATAAGGCAAACAGGAGGGTTGTGTAACGTGCAAGTTAAGGGACGGGCTGTGGCTCACTGGTAGAGCACCTGTTTAGCATGCAGAAGGTCCCAGGTTCAACCCCCAGCATCTCCAGTAAGGGTTGAACGTTAACCCTGGAGAGCTGCTGCCAGTCTGAGTAGACAATACTGACCTTGATGAACTGATGGTCTGATTCAGTATAAGGCAGCTTCATGTGTTCATGTATGTAACCAGGACCTTTAACACTGAGCTAGGTGGGTCAGCGGTCTGATCTAGAATGCCAGCCTTGTGTCCTTGAATCCTTGGTTCTCTGGTCTGTTAAACATCTGTCTTTGTCTCCTCTCTTTCAGCTTGTTAGCAACACATTCGACTGAGCTTCTCTGAACACAACGAGGTGACTGTGCCCAAAGAGGACTTCTTTAAGATTTTCGAGGGTCTTATTGCTGTGACAGAAAATAGGTCCTGGCTTCAAGGGGGCTTTACCTAACTGATGGCTCAGCCCCAAGCAAGGCCCTCGGAAAGGAGGCTCGCTTTTGTGCCTCTTGCCCTTTCTTGGTTCAAATATTCTTGCATTGATGTTGCTACTGGAAACGGTGCCTTTGGGAATCCAGCCTCTAGAGGGCGCAACTTCCACATTTTTTTATTCCCCCAAAAAGCTTTCCACCATATGGCAAAGTCTTCTGTATTAATAATAACGTAATACTTTAGCCCTGATGTTAATAGCTAATGGAGGAGAAGATTAAAATGAGCTTGGGAATAGATTCCCCAGTACTGGAGCCTGCCAAGTGTTTGGTTCAACAGAGCAGGGGACTTCAATTGCAGAAGCCTATGTAACCATAACATTTCTTTGTGTTGTTTTGAAGGGTCAGTTTTAGTATGTGGCTTTGGGCTTTTTCCCTGAGGTCGGTGGCTATCACACACACACACACACACAAAAAGCCAAGGAGGGGAAGGGGTGTTTTTCATTACTGGTAATATCCTTGTTGGCACTAGTCTCCCCCCACAAGACTTTTTTGATGGGTTGCTGAAATCATTGCAATGGGCGCAGTAACTGTGGGGTGGAGAGATGCTGTTGCTTATTTTTTTCCCCAGAGACAAAAATTGTTTTGACTGCCAAGGAAATGAGATTCCCCTGCAGTGGAAGCAATTGCTTGGAGACAAGACTTTCAGAATCCCCCGGTTATCGTTTGCTGCTGCTTGGCTGCCTTGAAGAAATCACGGATGTTGCCTGCTTGAGCCCAGAATATCGTCTCTTCGGGTCCAGATTCTGATCATCCTCATGCAGTCCTTGGACGTTATTCCACAGAGGGAAGCTTGGCAGCCAGGCCTTCCACCCCAGAGTAATAGTCACCGATAGATCTGCTTTTGACTGTGGCCTAGATTTTTCTCTCCCCTTTTGTAGCTTGAATTAAAAAAAAAAGCCAACAAAAATTCACATGACGCTGTTTTCAGTTTCTTCTTCTAATCTCCATGGCCTAATCCTATATTCTGTGATGATTAAGTAAGTTATCTTCTTTTGATCGTCTGCCCTGGTTTCGCATCTCCCAATTCATACCCACCCTGGACTGGAGTCCCTGCCCCGAGGAAGCAGTGAGTGGGTGGGGTGTGTCATTATTTAGACATGCCAGACATTTCTGCCTCCATCCCTTGCTTAAGTCCCAAATACTGTATTCTTATTTTGCAGTGAGAACTTAGTATATCCCTGACCTGCAGTAAGTATTTTTAAACTTACAGTAGCAGTTCTCTGCAAGTAGCCCCAGTTTTTTGTAAATAATTGGGGGGGGGGGTTTGAAGGCCTACCATTTTTCTGCCAGTATGATCCATATACTGATTCTCAGTGCCACAGCAGTTGTGCCCAGAGTGTGCAAGTTTCCGTGCTTAAAGCTTGTTTCCAGTTCATCCAAGTATAAACCAGTCACACTTCAGTGTAGCTGCCCTAGAGGGAAGTTGTTCAGCTTCCCTAACTTCCCTTCCTTGCTGCTTAACTGAACCATTTTAGAAAAGTTCTGTCAGTATCCAGTAGTAACAATCCCAATACCATTCTTCAGTCGTTAGCACTGTTCCTGGGGCAGCAGACACTTAGCATCTCTCATTGCAGACCAGGAACACCAAGTTATAATTCTTGAAGACGCTGTGTATCTTTCTTCTCCTTTCCATAAGCCATTGTTCTTGGGTCAAATAATTACAATTTGTGTTCCAAGTTAGCCTCCCAATAGATTTTCTGCCTCAAAACAGATGGAGGGATTTCAGAACCGAAGCTGGTGCCCGTGGGGAGGCTTTCCTGAGTGCCCCCAAACCCGAGGTATACCTGGATGGGCAGTTGTACGATATAGCTGTCCTTGCAGTCTTCCTACGCCTGGGTAGCCAGGGGAAGGTGCCACGCGCCCATGCGCCAGGTAGACAGGCATCCATGGCTCATCTGGAGTGTGGCCAACCACTCGCTGTTTCATCAGCTCCCTTGCTGGTGTGTCCTGGTAACCCCATTTCTGTGGGAAGGTAAAAATACGGATGTGGAATCATTTGTGTACAACTTATACATACAACTATGGCATGTAGTATTAGCTCTGAAACTTGAAATTGCCTTTTTAAAAAAACCTTTCTTCCCCCCCAATCAAACAATCGTTTCTAGTCCTCATGGTTGAGAGCAGCTGGGATTAAGGTTGCCAGCCGTGGGTGGGAAATACCTGGAGATTTAGGGAGTGGAGCCTAGGGAGGGCGGGGTTTGGGGAAGGGAGGGACTTCAGCAGGGTACAGTGCCAGAGTCCACCCTCCAAAGCAGCTATTTTCTCTGTGGCCTGGAGAGCAATTGTAATAGTGGGAGATCTTCAGGCCCCATCTTGAGGTTGGTAACCCTAGCTGGAACTGAGAAAGGCTTAAGAGTTTCAGGCTTGTACTTAAGCGATTTTGAAAAAGCAATAGGGTGAAGGATGATAGTCGGGGACCATTTTTGTTCAGTTAATTCCATCAACCCTACCTCTATTTCTAAACTGGAGCAGAAACAGCCACATACTTACAAGTTCTCCATAACTATCAAAGCAACAGGCTTGTTTTTAAAAGTAATTTGGAACTGTAGATTTTCCTTCGCCTGTAGCAGTTCCTGAGCCCAGGGCTGCCTTCTCTAAACCCTATTTTGGAAGCTCTGAACCAGGATATAAGGGGGCACAGAGCATGTGCAAAGCGTGTTTTGCAGCAGTGTGTACTTCTAGGTAAAGGTAAAGGTTCCCTTGCTTGAAAGCCAGTTGAATCCGACTCTAGGGTTGCGGTGCTCATCTCTGTTTCAAAGCCGAAGAGCCAGCGCTGTCCGAAGATGTTTCCGTGGTCATGTGGCCGGCATGACTAAACACCAAGGCGCACGGAACGCTGTTACACAGCTAGATATAACAGGGCTTTTGGGTCAGCATGTTTAGCTTTCAGGAGTTCATCCACCCAGTTCCTCCCTCTTTAGAAGTCAAGTGCTGGCTCTGAGCTTCTGCGTTTGAAGCCAAGTTCTAACGTTTACAGACTCCGCATTTCTAGATTCTCTATAGGCACAACTAGGCACAATAGACACAGGGGAAGAGAGTAAATTAGTGGTTGAAAGGAGAGGGAGCAGCAGGCTTGGGAATGTGTGGAAGAGCAAAGGAATGTGAAATTCAAAGAACGGGATTAGAGGAACAGTCCCTGAGCAGGCCCAGCCATTCTCTTTCTCCTACCCGGCAGGGTTTCTGTACTTTTAACAGCTGCCACAAAGGAGCAGTAAGGGGAAAAGCCCTGTCTGTTGAATAACGGCCTGCCACACAGGTGCTGGGCGGGGGGGATGAGGGAAACTACTCCAGAAGATAAGAAAGGGAAGCTGTCTCAGTTGTGACTACCCGACTTCTCCCTGCCCGACGTGGGTGTAGCCTTTATCAATATTGACCTAAGGGATGGTTTACACCTGTTAGCCCAAGGTGGGAGCCGGAGAAGGGAAAGGAATGAGGGTTCTGACAGCGCAGTTTGTTAGGAAACTCCAGCTTGGTTGTATTCTAACTGTGGGGCAGGCCGGGTGCCTCTCTGCCCCTTCCCCTCTGTGGCCTGTTGCCGGGACCTGCATCCTTGCTGTTGCCAGTGGCAGCGCCATCCAGTTCCCCTTGACAGTGGGCCTCCTGAAGGCAGCCCTACCACTGGCAGGCCTGGCCCAAGACATTTTTGTACCTGAGGTAGAAAATCCAACCCGCAATCCTTTCCCCCACCCACTAATGATTATGAAGTAAAATCTAGCACCCTAGGAACCCTGCTGTTGGCACAGCACCATTTCAGTGAAGCCTGAGGAGGAAAAATTCCCAGTGGATCGGGCCCTGTGGCTCAGATCCTCTTGCTCTCCAAACTTAAGCAGATGTCCAAGTCCAGCAGCTGATACAGCCTCTCTGCCTTGACTCTTGGTCGGGCCTGCTCTGGCCAGCCAGCTACTTACTGCGGCCAGCAATTAGGGTTGCCAGCCTCCAGGTGGCACCTGGAGATCACCCACTATTACAATTGATCTCCAGATGACTTAAGATCACTTCGCTTGGAGAAAATGGCTGCTTTGGAGGGTGGACTCTATGGCACTGTACCAATGCTGGGGCCCCTTCCCCCCCAAACCCCACCCTCCCTTGGCTCCATCCCCCAAAGTATCCAAGTATTTGCCAACCCATGGCTGGCGACCCTAACCATCAGAGAGTTGAAACAGTGGTGCTGCAGTTCACATGTGTGTGAAATTCATCAGTCCTCTTTAATGGTAAGCTATATAGCATGGGGGTGAGGGAAGCCCCATCCTTTGCCTCTTTTCTATTTGTTGGGCAGCTACTGAAGGCAGAGAGTCCACCAAAAACCTGACAGCGCTTGAGGTCTAGAGTTGAAAATGAGAGCTAGTATGGTGTAGCGACAGAATTAGACCCTGGCTCAAATCTTGTGGTAAGATGAGCTCACTATTTTATGGCTGCCAACTCTGGGTTGGGAAATTCCTGGGGATCTGGGGGGAGGGCAGGGGCTTCGGCAAGGTATAATGCCGCACAGTCCACTCTTCAAAGCAGCCACGTTCTGCAGGGGAACTGATTTCTGTCATCAGGAGATCAGTTGTAGTTCTGGGAGGCCTCCAGGCCCCACCTGGAGGTTGGTAGCCCTATACTATATATTTCTCATTCCACCTGGAATAGGACCATAAAACTGGCTTACTCTACAGGGTTGTAAAGATTAGAACAGGATAATAGGTGGGATCACATGGTAAATTTTCACTAAAGGACATTTTCCCACTGATCTCCCCCACTCTGCTGCAGATCTCTGACCCTTTTGTGTTGTTCCTGTAGGTCCCTTGTTCCTAGGAGCAGCATTTTGGGGATCAGTTCAGGTTGCAACAGGAAGGGATAGGAGGAGGGAGGAAGTCTCATGCACAGAGATTTACCACACCATCCAAACCAGTGTATAGGTAGTACTTTTAATGACTGAAAGCTTTACATAAATGCCAAGTATTTTCTGTTTCATCTCAGCTGTAGGCTTACAAGATAGCCTTGGGGAAGCGATAATCTCTTTTGCTGCTCCGTAAACCTGTAGTTTAGAAATTAAGATATCAATGTAAGAATTAAATAAATGGTGTCTGTAGTAAAGTGTAACCTTAGGGTTGCTCCGCCTACATGAAAATAGTTTTACACAGGGGAATTAAAGTGAACAATATTTTACAATTTCCAAGCCTAGTTTGCTCTTTGAATTCAGACCAAAGCTTCATTCCTACTGTCATCGAGGATGATGGGAAAACAGGAAAAAAATGTTGGTTCTTGTAATCATTGGAGCTTATGGAAAAAATAAATATCTTTGTTCCCACAATAATCAGAGGTCTCAAAGCTGGCACAGACAGGAATTTGGTCTTTCTAGCAGCTGGAGTATATGGAAGGGAAAGCTCAGTGCTGTTTCCTTCAACATCTGGAATTTATAGAGGGTCCCCCCCCTTCTAAAAGCAACTGGAATTCATGAGCAAAATATCGTTTGGGTCTCCGTGACCAGAATTTACAGGATGGGGGGGGGGGGGGATCATAGAGCCTAAGTTTATGGAAAAGCAAAATTTGACCAGTTCTTCAAACCAGGATTAGGAAAATATTGAAATTTTGGTTCCTATGGAAACCTAAACTAATAGAGGAATTTCAATTCCCAGGGGAGTCAGAGTTTAAGCTGCAAAGCAAGGGTAATTTGTTGAAAAAAGAATAGGCTTGTCTTTATGAAAAGAAATACTGGGGGTTGGGGAAGAAGAGAGAATCAGATTTCTCTCTGGAAATCATTATATTACTTTTCTTCTGTGGTGAATATCCAGGGGAGGACTTTTGTATGGCAGTTCTGAGTGAAAACGATGAGTACAGGACTAGACGACGTAACCTTGGCAAAAAATAGGTTTGCCAGGTAACAGAACTGTGGGGATGGGCGGGCGAACAATTCTGGGGACCAGGGGGGTAGTTCTTCTTAAATCCACCGATTCTCCCCCACAACAGCTTTTCTTCCTGGCCTAGCCTGTTTCCAGTATCAAAACACAGCTAAGGGAAAAGCTGGTGGGAAGGGAGCATTGTGGAGTGGTATCAGCAAACAGGGTAGAGTTATGGGGGGGGGAAAACCCACTCACCCACTGCGATTCTCTGGGAGGGGCCATATCGACTCTTCATACACAAAGCTTCCATGTGCTCATCCCCAGTTACCTCTGCAGATGGACTCTAAAAGGAACTTGGTGGTAAAAACCATGGGAGGAGGAAGATAGCAGAGGTTCTGCCATGACAGCCTAGAAAGAGGAGCCTGAATTCTCCAAAAGGAAAGCCGGCTGAAGTGGGTTTAAGCCTTTTGTTTGTTGGCTTTGGGACTTTCTTGATCTGTTGGGTTGGAAGCAGCCCCGTAGCTAGGGAATTCCTTGGAAGGGGGCCTTGGGGGGGCCCGCCAGCTAATTCAATGGAAGTACAGTGCAGGTGGTAAGTTGGAGCACTTTGGGGGCAGCCCTGGAGGGAGGGGGCCCAGAAGAAACACAAGGGGGCCGGGCCCTGGGGGCCCCATGTTAGCTACGGGCCTGGTTGGAAGTGTTCTGGCCTTCTGGTTGCCAACCCACAGTTGGAGGCTGGAGTTCTGGAATTATAAGTGACTAGAAATAATGCCCGTTGCGGAAATAAATACAACGGGATCTAGAAAGAGGCTCTGGGAGAGTGCTCTGGCTTTGGGCAAACAGTGTCAGTTTCCTGTGGCGACCTCAGCAGGGTTTAATGACAGAGTCCACTGTTTTCTCCAGAGGGACTGATCTCTGCTACCTGAAGAGCATTTGTATGTTTGAGTTATCTGTAGCCCTCACCTGGAGAGTGGTAACCATTGTTACCCATTCTCCTCTCCCCTATGAGGTATGTTATGCAACTGAAAATTCCAACTGCCTTGCGGGGGGGGGGGGGAGTTTGAGGTGTGGAATGGACTGAAGTCCAATCAGCTTCCATATGCAAAAGACCAGGTTGTCGCAGCAGTTGTGGTGTGGGCGGGACCCGGGCTTTGCCTTCTGATTGGTGGCGATATATGCTGAGGAGCCGTGCCATCAACCATACACTAAGGGAGTGCATTTTAGAATTAGAACTTTGGCACCCACTATTCAATTATATATAAGGAGAGATTTCCATTCCAGATGACAGAGATCAATTCCCCTGGAGAACATGGCCGCTTCAGATAGTAGATGTAAAGTATACCATAGATTGTTGGTGAAATCCCTTTCCAAATTCCTCCCTCCATAGGCTCCACCCCCCCCCAAATCTCCAGGAATTTCCCAGGCCAGAGTTGGCAATACTGTCTGGCCTGGCTCTTCAATGTGACGCCCTTGGGCCCTTTCGGAAGGGGACAAGCATCGCTTGGCTGCTCAAAATGCAGAGCAGGGGCATTTACTAAAGCCAGTTTGCTTTTGACTAGCTAGAATAAAGTCTGGTAGCACCTCAGAGACCTGCTTCAAATGCCCAGTTTGTATGGGGAATGTCTTTTGCCAAGCCTGTCCAGCCACAGAGGAACTGCATGGAGAAGGCAAGACAGCTGCCCCTACAGAAACGCAACTGAATGGTAGAGCCGTAAAGAAGAACGTCACCCATTAATAGGTGCAGGTGGTACTGCCTGCTTCAGCTGTGGCATGTGTCATACCAAAGAAATAACATCCCCTGAGAAGGCAGACATGAAGAGTGGAACGCAAAGACTCTTCTTAGGTAAGGAACCTGAGTTAATCGGTTTACAGTGTAGGCTGGAAACATTGTGTATATAACTTTTTAAATCACACAACTTGCCTGGAACCTAGCCTTCCCATCATCGTAACCCCCGATCCCAAATGAGGATCGGTTGCCATTATTCAATGATAAAGCAAGGCGCTCTGTTTATGCTTAGAGCAGGGGTCCCCATCATGGCACCCTCTGTGCATGCCAACATCTCTCCTAGCACCCACGAAATATTATTGGAAAGTGGGCAGAGCCAGATGGGGCTTTTGCTCAGCGGGGCTTCTGATTGGCTGTGTGTATTAAAAAATATCCTGTTAACCAGAGAACAAAGTTTGAGCCCAGTGGCACCTTTAAAACCCACTAGGGTTGCCAGGTCTGGGTTGGAAAATACCTGGAGACTTTGGGGGTAGATCCAGGAGAGGGCAGGGTTTGGGGAGGGGAGGGGCCTCAGCATGGTACAAAGCACCCTTCAAAGCAGCCATTCTCTCCAGGGGAGCTGATCTCTGCCAGCTGGAGATCAGTTGTAAAAGCAGGAGATCTCCAGGCCTCACCTGGAGGCTGGCAACCCTAAGACCCACACTAAAGCTTATGCCCAGAATTAAATTTCATTGGTATTAAAGGTGCCACTGGACTCCGGATTTGTTGCTTCAGACCAACCTGGCTACCCACCTGAATCTGTTACTCAGAGGTTTTGCCTGAAATGTTGAAGAATTATTATGAGAGTTATGCATAACTTTGCTCCCTGGTTGGCTCCACCTCCTGTGGCAGCCATTTTGCCACTGTGTCAAAAGGGTTGGGGACCCCTAGCTTAAAGGCACACTCTATTATTCAGCTGTTTCACGACTGCATTAGAAATGGTCTGAAGGCATGATGTAATGGTTAAGAGCAGCAGACTCTAGTCTGGAGAACTGGGTTTAATTCCCCCCCACCACTCCACATGAAGCCTGCTGGGTGATCTTGGGCCAGTCTCAGTTCCCTCAGAACTCTCTCAGCCCTACCTGCTTCACAAGGTGCCTGTTGTGGGGAGAGGAAGGGAATGTGCATGTAAGCTGCTTTGAGATGCCTTAAGGTCAGGGGTCGTTTTGTAGAAAAAGAGCTAGGGGAACTCATTAGCATAACTCATTAGCATATGCCACACCCCCTGACATCACCGGAAGTGTGTCATGAGGCCACACCCCCTGACATCACCAGAAGTGTGTCATGAGGCCACACACCCCACCCCCAATGGTCCCAGCGGCCGCCGCCGGCCTTGCAGCTCCACTGCCAAGCCCCATGAGGGGCCCGGCGGTGGACCTGCAAGGCCGGCGGGAGTGCAAGGAAGCCCCGCAAAGGCCCTCCCTGGCCCCAGGCAGGCAGGGGTGGGGAGAGGCAGGGAGGAAGCAACTTACCCTCCCTCTTCTCCTGCCTCCTCCTGGCTGAATGAGGGCCGGAAGCGGGGTTGCCAGAAGCAGGGGGCGGGGCTTCGTCATGTGCCCCGCCCCCGTACCTCACCCGGGGGAACTGCGATCCCCCGCGATCCCCCCCGAAATGACCTCTGCTTAAGGTAAAGAAAAGTGGGGTATAATAACCTACTCTTCTTCTTAATCTCTGATCCTTCCTAATCCCTTAAATTGGACACCTGGATAACCCTAGACTTTTAATTTATCTGCTTTATTTTTATGCTATTCTTCCTCCACAGATATTGGGGCTTTGTACATTTTATTCTTGCCCCTCTTCCACAACAAGCCTGTGAGGTATACCTAAGGTCTACTGAATTTCAACTCAGGTCACCCTGGTCCAGGTGTGCCAGGAGTCACAAGTCTGGGGCTCTCTGTGAGGGAGGGAAGTCTTGTGGATTAGAGCGGAGGATGCTAGGAACCTGGACATGGGGGAATATCCCATGAACTGTGGCTCAGAGGGTTGAGAGGGCTGCTTACCTTTGCTTCTTCGGCTGAGTCTATCCCATTATGCCCAAATCCTGCACTGGACCCGGAGAGTTGGCTGAAGCGGCTGAGGTCCCACAGCGACTTACTAGCACGAGCACCTGTGGTCTTGGCTACTGAGAGCCGGGTCCGCTGTACATTCCGGAAAATATCACTGAGAGCACTGTGCTGCTCTTGGGATTCCTGTGGGGCTCTCCCAGACAAGTCCATACCACGCCATGCTCCTAAACGGTTCCGGAACGAGGCCTCGCGCACTGGAGTGGGTAGCACAGGGTCCTCTGCAGTCACAGGTGAGGCTAATACCAGCTCCCACTCACCAGCCCGACTCTTGGCCACAGGATGTGGAGCCACAGAGCGCCTCTCTGCGATGCGGTTGGAGGACAGTTGTACCCCATCCAGGATACTGACATATGGAGCGACTTCCGGCCCATTGGTGGTAGGCAGCGGAGGCACATGAGCAACTTGGGGTCTAGGGGGTACCTCCAGCCCTGGCAAGGGACAGGAAGCAGCATACAAGGTCCGAAATTCACGGTCAAATGCTTCTGTTACCTCCCCTGTAAGCCGAGTGACCAGGTGGCGGTTCAACCGGGCATCGGTCCACGTGAAGCTGTTGAGAAGAGAAAAGAGGACTTTAACGGTGGATCTTTGGTTCCTGGGACTTTTAACCATCACGATCATCTTTTTGCCTAAGCATGGAACTTGTTTTTCTAAAAAGGAAAGCCAAAAAGTGAAAGTAGACAGTCAAAATATTCTGAAGAATGTGAGCCCTGTGCACCAGAGATACTGCAGGCCTTTCATCTTCCCTGGGAAGGGTGTATGTAATCTACATTATCAGTTTTACACTTGTTTAACTGTCATGGCTCATCCTAAAGGATTCTGGGCATCATAGTTTAGGGTGCTGAGAATTCCCTCCCCAGACCCCAGAATTATAATCCCCAAAGTCTCTGGGAGAGAGGTAATGACCCCCCCTCCCCATTTGCAGTATAGATGTAACTTTGGTTTGACAGGCAGTGGCTCATTCTTTTATTCTGCCAGGAAACGAACAAATCATTTCGGGGATGGAAGGGAACAAGGCTGTTTGAGAGCACAGCAGACTTTACATTCCCCACAGGAGGGGCCCTTGCACAGTAATTATTTTAACATGCCCCATGCAACCACCTGGAAATGTTGAGGGACTGAGGAAATGGCGATTGTTGCCTGACGGAATTCAACAGACGTCTATATCTGTTCCCCATTTATTTATAGCCACCTACTTTGAGGCAAACAGGCATTCCGTGTTCAGATCCCATTCAGCCAAGAAGCTGATTTGGGACTAGTCAATATTCTTTTAGCCTAACCTACGTCATAGGTTTGTTGAGAGGATAAAAGGGGAAGAACCAGCTGTGATATCCTGAGGCCCTTGGAGAAAAGGCAATGTAAAAATAAAAGCAATAAATAATCTCTGTTCAAGGGGAACACATTTATGATGGGATTGGGGGATGTTAAAATTACCCATGTCAACTCTTTTGGGCTCAGTTTATGCAATGGTCAAACTGTCCCTGAATATCACTGAGAAGTGTTGATTAGAGCAGAGGTGTCGAACTCATTTGTTATGAGGGCCTGGATCTTACAGAAAAGTCACTTTGTTGGGCCGGGCCATATGTGCCATGAAATGTGATAAGACAAAATGTGGACAATGACGACCTAATTAGAGAACAAATGTAAAGAAAACAATCGTGAGAGTCTGACCCACAGATCAAGCAGTCAACAAGACTTGCAAAGAAAATACATTCTGTATATTATGGTCAACAAGCACTACAACACAATAAACAAATTCCTTCAAATCATAAGAAAATCTTAGTGTGAAAATACATCATCAACGTTGTCTCCGGATTATATAACAACGTTTCAAAATTGGATCTTCCTCAGGAAATATTAGAGTAGTACAAAAGCTCTCTTGCTCATAAAATGCTTTACAAAATGCTTTTCAAAAAATCAGGAAAGATAATACATTTAGATAGGATGCTGATCTCAATAAGTATTCAGCTGCTAAGCTTCTAATGGATCCCAGGCGTCTCCTGACTGTTTTCTTTACATTTGTTCCATAAAATGTAATGCCAGGTACGGGAGATATAAACTTTTTAAAGGACATAGGCAAACCCAATTAACAGTATTATTTTTTACTCAAAATACAAACATGCTTAAAACATTAACACTCTTACAGCATTTCCTTAAAGTATCTCCCTGATGTCCACCCTCTCACTTTCGCTGCCCATTACTCATTAGCACTGGGACAATATAGAGGGGCATAATGCACAGCCTCTAGGGTTGCCAAGTCGCTTGGACTCACCATCCCTGTAATACTGTTGGTATGCACAAACATATAAAGATGCTTTTGCAGTGATCCCTTCATTTCATTTATCTTCAGGGCTCTAGTCGGGGGGGAGCTCTCAGGTATGGAGCTCCGGAAGAGAACCTCTAGGGGGTGGGGCGGTCACGTGGTGAAGCCCCGCCCCTTCTTTACCCCGCCCTCTGCTTCGATCCTCATTCCGTTTGGGAATGAGGATGAAGCAGGAGGGTAAGTAGCCGGGCCTTCTGACACACTTCCGGTGATGTCAGGGGGTGTGGCCTTCTGTCACTTCCGGTGATGTCAGGGGGCGTGGCATATGCAAATAAGTTATGCTAATGAGTTATGCTAATGAGCTCCGGCAGCTCTTTTTCTACAACAAGACCCCTGGTAACAACAAGTTGCCTGCGAGCCAGATAAGAGCCCTGGATAGGCCACTTCTGACCGGCGGGCCATATATTTGACACCCCTGGATTAGAGTATTGGACTAGGATCTGTGAGATCCAGATTCAGATCTTCATTGTGCCACCGTTCTGGGTGACCTTGAACCAGTCCCATACACTCAGCCCAACATACTTCACAGGGTTGTTCTAAGGATAAAGTTGAAAGCAGTAAAGATGTAAGCTGCTTCAGATCGCCATTGAGGAGAACAATAAAGATATAAATCAATAAATACATATCACCACAAATCTCATAATTCTAAGAAATCCCAGGACATAAGAAACTAGACATTGGGGAGAAATATGAGTTATCATTCTTCCTGACATGCTGTTTTTCTAAATGTAGGATCCCCCCCCCCAATAAGGGATTCTTCAGATATGTAGTTGCACCCTCCCATGTGTTGTCTGAAGTGGAAGATTCCAAGAACAGTTGACCATGTGATGAAGAAGAGATTGGATTTATACCCCGCCCTTCACTACCCGAAGGAGTCTCAGAGTGGCTTACAATACCTTCCCCTCCCTACAACAGACACTCTGTGAGGTAGCTGGGTCTGAGAGAGCACTCTTGAGATCTGCCCTTGAGAGATCAGCTCTGAAAGAACCTATGACTGACCCAAGGTCACAGCAGCAGTTGCATGTGGAGGAGTGGGGAATCAAACGTGGTTGTCCCAGATGAGAGACCACTGCACCAAACTTCACTAGCCTTGGCCTAAGATATAGACCCCACCCTTTGTCCATGGTCTATGTGGCAAGCTAAGCTTGGAACCTGAGGTTTTCCATTTGATCCTCTCAACAACCCTGCAGGGTAGGAGGGCTCAGTGGAGACTCCCCAAAGTCACCTGGCTGTGAACTGAATGACTGAATGGGGAACTTCATGTGGGTTTCCCACATCCAGACTTAGCACTTGAGCCATTACATCACATGGGCTTTCCTATATGGCACCCAACACTGAAAACTAAATGAGATACCTAGCAACAAGGCAGGTGAAGAGAGAGAGGATTAACTAAAGCAACCATTCCTGGCAATTGTTTATCCACCCCATTGTCAACTTATCTCTGCAACAGGGACTGTCCACCTCTCTTAAATCCTGTAACTTGAACCCTTTCCCACCTATTCTCAGTATTTCTTTACAGGGTGTTTTCTTGTACAGTTTTTTTCTTGTACAGCATTTTTTTTAAATGCCGCTTCGAATCCTGGTCCGCTTTTCCTTTTGAAGTAGCTGTATGGATGGAAAATGCAGCCAGCTGGGCGTTTCTTTAAAACAGGCTAGCCGTAGATGGAGGGAAGTTTCCCTTGGCATCAGCCCATTTTTTAAAAAAGGAATGGAAGAGGGATTTTCTCTATAAAGAAAGGGAAATTTCTCAGGAAACAAGCCAAGTAGCAGTTCAGGGTTTGTTTGTTTGTTTCGTTTTAAAGATATTTGTTTTGAACATTTCTGTCTTCCCTTGTCAAGCCATTAAGGTTCTCAGAGCAGCTTCCTTGAAGTTTTTAAAAATAAAGCTAGAAATGACAGAACCCGAGTTGGGCCCGGGGAGCCAGGACCCACCTCTTTCAAAACCAAACACATAGTTTGGCCCTGAGACCCATACCTGCTTATGAAGAGGAAAAGCCACAGAGGAGGTAATGGGAGTTGTGGCAGGCAGGCAGACAGACAGACAGACAGACAGACAGGGCTTCATTATTTCCACTCTCACAATTCCCCTACCCTGCACCTGTGGAGTTTCAAATGCAAAGCCCTGAAGGAAAGCCACTGAGGCATTTGGGGGTGGGGAAGACCTTCTGCCCCCTCCCACCAGCCCTGCCTGTCGTTTCTCCCCTCTCAACCTCCAGCGGCGCCTTTCCCTTTTCATAAAAGGCTGCCAGGCAACAGCAGCTGTGTAATACCTTTTTTATGAGAGCTCACCAAATTGCAGTGAACAAGCTTTCACAGTAGCTCTGACATTTACATCGGGTTGGATGCTCACTACAAAAAAAAACGTGGTGGTGGTGGGGGGAACAAGATGGAAAAGTCCAAAGTCAGCAGCCACCTTGAAGTAAGACCTGGAAATGCGGCTTCTGTATGGGGTTCCCCCACACACACCCCGGAACACACTAGGGTTGCCAGCTCTGGGTGGGGAAGTGCCTGGAGAATCTGAGGGTGGAGCTTGGGGAGGGGAGGGTCCTCAGCAGGGTACAGGGACATGCAGCCCACCTTCCAAAGCAGCCATTTGCTGCAGAGGAACTGATTTCTGTTGTCTGGAGATTAGCTGTAACCCAGGCCCCACCTGGAGGTTGGCAACCTTCAGGGCTATTTTTGGGCAGGAACGCACAGGAACGGAGTTCCGGCTGGCTCCTGAGTTGGCCACGCCCAGCAGGAACTCATTAGCATAATAGGCCACACCTAACAGCAGACACTCATTAGGATTGGCTACATTAGGGGTGTGTGGCCTAACATGCAAAGGAGTCCCTGCTACAAAAAAAGCCCTGGTTGACAACAAACAAGGTAAACAGAATAAGAAGCAAAAGGTGGGTGTGGTTGGATGACCACACTTCTGGTAACATGTGGGGTGTGGCCTAATATGCTAATCAGCTGTGCTGCCATGGGTGTGGCCTAATATGCTAAGGGATTTCTGCTGTTGGGTGTGGCCTAATATGCTAATGAGTTCCTGCTGGGCTTTTTCTACAAAAAAAGCCCTGGCAACCTTAATGCCCCAGAGTTTGAGGGGGACCTTCCAAATGACATTGCGTTCATTTGGAGCACGATTTGTGGGGTGCCTCGGGTTTCTGCCTTTCAGTTGGATCAAAGGACAGCCTCTTTTGATACTGTTCAAAGGAAAATGTGGGATGGCCTGTGGGCAGCCTATCCATGTGGACGCTCTGCCCATAGCCAGTCTGAGGAGAGGGGTTGAGCTCAGCCCCATGTTTCAACCTCCCCTTGAGTGCTTTTTTCGGTTCCCCGCTGAACCATGGTGTAGCTTTAAATACAGCTCAGCTGGGAAAGAGGGAGTTGCCAGGCCTCATGGGAGGGACTCAGCCCATCTGTAACTACCTGCACACTTCTGCAGGGAAGATGGGGTAGGGACGCGGGAAGCAGCACAGCCACCTTACTGCTGCTCCTGCAGCCGGATGCCTTTTTGCTCCACGCCCCATGTGGAAAGCAGTCCTTTAGGTTGCTTCCATACATTCTCCCTTCATCATGCCTTTCAAAGTGGAACAGAGTTTTATCTAAGATTAGATGGTGCTGGATGCAAAACAGACTTCAAAACGAGGATCTGGAAAAAAACCTGACCCTTCCTGACCACCACCACCCCCAATTCACCCAGGCTGCAGTCTTTCCCAAAACTTTGCCATATAGCAGGTTTGGGAAAGGTCAGAGAAAAGCTGGGGGAAATGCAGAGGTGCAAGAATGCACCACAATGTGTTGAGGAAGCGGGGTGGACGGGAACCCACTTTCCAACAGCATTGAGAAGGAGAAGGAGGAAGGGGCCATCAAATTACAACGGTGACCCAGTTGGGTTTTCAAGGCAAGGGACGAACAGAGGTGCTCTGTGTAGCAACGCTGTGCTTTCTTGGTGGTCTCCCATCCAAGTAGTAACCAGGGCCAACCCTGCTTAGCTTCCAAGATCTGCCAGGATCGGGCTAGCCTGTTCACTTTAACAGTGAAATTTACTAGAAAAGTACCAAGGTATACTTTCGGTAAGCAAATTATGTTGGTTGTGTAATGGTGATGGTTGCACTAGTGATATTTTTTATACCTATTTTGCCTTTTTATGTACGTAAACATTCTGACATATTTTCTGCAGGGCTGGAAGGAAATTTTGTTCCAGCGAGGACATTCTTATACTTGTAGAAGGAAATCTGATGAATGAAATCTATGAACATGTCAATACTGGTTTGAGTACAGGCTAAGTAGAATCCTTTTGCTCGGTTATGATTTCCTTTGTGGCAGTGGGAAGTGCTGTCAAGTTGCAGACAATTTCCTTTAAATATATTCAATTAGAAGACTGTTTGGGGGAAGGGTGTTTGATTGAGGTTAGCTGTTTATTTGTCTCAAGTGCCAAGTCCTGTTAAAAGAATTGAATCTTTCTGTGTTCATCCTACTGAAAAAACCTTCTCCAAGATTTGGTCAGAGGTCCGATGTGACCCTCAGCCTCATAGCTTCCCTACCGTCTACTGGCAGAATGATTAACAGATTCACATAGATCTCCCGAGACCTCTTTCTCCTCCAGGGTCTCAGGGTTTTTATATTTATTTATTCAATTTTTATCCTGCTAATTTCCCTTCCAGGCAGGGCTCAGGGCAACTTCCAACAATTAAATACAATTGAGAAGTAGGGGGACCTTCCTCACCCAGCGAACTGCCTAAAATTCAATCAGACCCTCGCTCAATTCAGACATCATGCCAAGAGGCACAAAGACCAGCTCTGAGCCTGGAGAGGAACAAATACCCTGCTGGAAGGACGGAGGAGAGACCTCTGAAGAAAACCTGGGAGGCAGAGATTTGGAATGACTGGGGACGGTATGAATCATTGCCTCGAAAAGCACTGAGGAGAAATTGTGCCCGAACTTGGGAGACAGCAGAGGTGGCATTGTTCCACACAGCAATCTGCTGTAGCCGCAGGGAACAAACTGTGATGTCTTAATGGGCACTAAGGCCCAGCTGTAAACATGGGATCTACATGTCCTGGACGAATCGTTTTGCGAATTAGAACTCCTGGGGATTTTTTTTTTTTTTTGGGGGGGGGAGAATCTTAAAAAGTGTTGGAGAAGTTTTTTGTTAATAATTCATACAAAAGAGCCAAGACGTGCAACTGTTAACTGCTTGGTGCCTAGGGACAGCTGTTTCTGGAACACACCATCACACCATAGACACAAGGATTTTGGTTTTTAAAAAACTAGGTTAAGCTTTAATTGCTTGAGGTTCAGAGGAGACCCCCCAGCAGGAGCACACTGGTGGAGAGAAGCTGGAGGAAGAGGGAGGGGGCTGTCAACCCCTGAGCTGCGTTGCACATGTCCCCTTTACAGCAGTTGGTGACCAGGCTGTAGGTGACCCCCATGTAGGAGATGGGCTGCTCCTTGCCACAGTAGATGGCACGAGTGCAACCTTTGTTTCTGATCAGTGACACACCCATGGCAGCTCCTTGGCCGTCAAAGCAATCCTCATCATCTTCGCAAATCATTTTGGTGCCGGGACACTTTGTCGAATCGGTGATTTCACAGTAGTAGCATTCCTTAGACAAGATGGGGGGAAATGCAGCAGTCAGAAGGCAGAAGATGCTGACGAAGAGAGGATGTTTCATCACTCAGTTAAGATAAGATGGAACGAAGGCTGGTTTAGTCCTCGAGTCTCACAGATAGGCAGTGTAGAAATTTAGGGATTTGTGACAATCAAACTCCCTCTCCCCACTGATTTTGTGTATGTGTGACTTCCACGGACCTTCTATATTTGACTATTTTGTAATTTCAGAATCTTCAGAAACAAATGATCAGGTTTGCTTTTGAAATCCAGATCTTTACACAATGGATCTTCTTGGGTTCCTTATCACGGAGAAATTGTTTCCAACTGGTGGCCACAGATTTCCTTCGGAACCTTACCTCTTAGTAGCTTGGATCCAAGCTTCTTGGTTCTCCAAAGGACAGTCGTAACCGGGTGGGTGGGTTTAGATTACCCTTAACTCCTGTGCTTGCAGAAACTGTTTGTGGCAATTTAATGGGTTTCCTTAGTCACAAAATAGGCTTTGTTATAAGTCATTAACTTTCCCCAAGATCTATAGGAACTTCAACCGGATTAAAGATCCTTGATGCTAGAAGCAAGCCAGAACGTCCACTTAATCTGTGCTTCTCAAGCTTTTCCAGAAGCAAATTATGATGCCAATTTTAGGCCTTCCAGTGAAACTTGGGACCTAGCTGTTGGATTCACAGCTCAAATGTCTTCCAAACTAGCTCTGGAGCAGCTTCAGAAGAAAATGGTTGCTTGATCTACATGGACTACCCAAAAAGCCAACATGAACTGGGTTCCTTTAGCTCCAATACCTCACGTCAGGAGTTGGAAGACTTGGTTGATTCAGTACACAGTGTTCCAAAACCAGCTCCAGACTCCTAGATTTGGGTTCTTTTGTTCCAATGGTTTCAGAAGAAAGTGCGTTGTCCTGATGAGCAACCTTCCGTTATCGCAATTCTCACCCACTCCAGGGATACAATGATCCTCTAGTAGCAGCCCAATGGAATTTGCTGTGGCTTGAGCAATGTCATCACAATTAATGCCAAAAGTTCATTGGTGGATTCCATCCAGGACTTCCAGTTTAAGTCTCTTGAGGTCCTTGACATCACCTTGCTGATGTCACAGAAGGAATGAAAGCAACAAATGATGTGGTGATGTCATATAGAGAAATAGATTTTTAGAGTCTTGTGGTTGGTAACAAGATACTAGGACCACTAGATTCTGAGGGAGATTAGGTAAAAGCTTGAGTTTTAAGGGAAAGAGAAACAGTACTAATGGTTTCAAACAAAGCAGGGGAACTAGGAAGTAAACCGATGCCCTTAGAAATACGAGGCATATTTACATCTTAGTTGTTATACCCTCTGTAAACTCGTTATGGATGTTGTTACATCTTGAATCTGATTAACAAGGAATCTTGTCAAATTTTATTTTTTATCCTACCCAAGGAGCTCTGGGCAGCATATATGCCCCCCCAAAGTTTATCTTCACAACAATCCTGAGAGTTTGGTTAGACAGATAAAAAGATTGACCCAAGGTCACCCAGGGAGCTTCATCATAGTGTGGTGATTTGAACCCGGATCTTCCCAGTTGTAGTATGACAGTCTAACTACTGGGTCATAAAATCCTAACTGTACTACCAAAATCGAGGAATTCTGGTACCATCCTTACCCAGATCCATGAAGGCTTCCCTTGCTGCTGGCCGAAAATTCAGCCAGGAAAGGCCTTATTTCCAGTTTCATTGCAAGAAACAGGAGACCCAGCATTCAGTAAAGCAAAAAAATCCATTAAAAAGGAATGGATGAGGCTGGAAAAAAAGAGGTTGGAGGCAGGTCTTTCTTACCGTAAGACTCACAACTGCTGTCTATTGTGGGAAGTTGCTCCATTATAGGCATGGGAGTTCAATCTCATATAAGGCTGCTGCCTTTTTATAATGGACAGAGTCTCCTTTTGTTGAACATCTGCAGGATGGGTAGGACTTGCACAGATGTAGCATTTGCCACCCCGATGCTGTAAGAAGCATTACTTGTTTTTTGCTTTTTGCGTCCCTGCCAGTCACGCAACTGTTTAAAGGGACTGATACTAAATTATTATGTTATAACTGTTGATGTACGTTGAAAACTTTGTTGGTGATTAACTGGCTGGTTTGTAATTTTGGATTCTCGGGACTTTTGTATACTGTTTTGCAGTTATTGTACATGTTATAAGTTATACTTGATCTTAATAAACATTTTAAAAACCAAATAAATAAAGGGACAGAGACTCTGCCTATACCCAACGTGGTTATATACATTTAAGTGCCATCAAGTCACGACTGACTTATGGCAACCCCAGCAAGGGGCTTTCAAGGCACGTGAGAAGAAGGGGTGGTTTGCCATTGCCTTCTTTTGCAGAGCCTTCCTTGATGGTTTCCCTTCCAAGTTACTGACTCTGCTGAGCTTTTGAAGAGATCAGACTACATCAGGCTGCCTTCCCTCTGGTAACAGTTTAGCTGCTTGTAATTATAGAATGAGGGCAGACTGACCAGGAATGGAGTCCCAAAGCATAGATAAGGAATGAGGTGAAGTTATGCCAGGAAGGAAATGGGAGGAATGGAACCCTCCATGCCAATTCTAGAGGGCACTGAACAACACTAATTGGGTACCTTCAACCAAGAATGTTCCCTTCCGGCTCTGACCTGCGTGTACACACAGTGAGAATAGTGGCATCGTTGGGGCATTGGGTGTAGGCATGCCAAGTTCTGAAGTGGCTTTTTAGTCCTGTGCCTTTAACAGCCATTTGCTTGGATGCAGTTCAGCATCACCTGCTGGTTCTTGCAGATCAAAGGTGCAAGATCAGGCCAGGTTGTTCTTGTCTTATGACCAGCTGGTAACCTGGCAGTAAAGAGGTAAAGGTAAAGGTTCCCTTGCTCGAAAGCCAGTCGAATCCGACTCTAGGGTTGCGGTGCTCATCTCCGTTTCAAAGCCGAAGAGCCAGCGCTGTCCGAAGACGTTTCCGTGGTCATGTGGCCGGCATGACTAAACACCAAGGTGCACGGACCGCTGTTACCTTCCCACCGAAGCGGTACCTATTTATCTACTTGCAATTTCTTGCTTTCGAACTGCTAGGTTGGCAGGAGCTGGAACTAGAGACGGGAGCTCACCCCGTCTTGCGGCACCTGGGTCTTGAACTGCTGAAGTACTGACCTTCCACAGCCTGCAGTTCAGCGTCTTAACCACTTGAGCCACCACAGCTCCGGTAACCTGGCAAGGCCCTGGCAAATGCCCGATCTTGCTGCCTTCTGAAGCCGCCTCTGCCTCTATGACTGCTGTATGAACTGGAGCAGGCAAGAGCTGTCCTTACCTGTAGCTGCCAGTGATCGCTACTTCTCCATCAGCCAGTATAAATTTCTCCTTTAGCAACCCTGTGACCTGCTTCTGGTGTCTGCTTTGGAAGGTGCAACCATGGATGACTCGGACTCTCAGCTTCTAGAAAGGGGATGAAGGATGCAGAAACGGGCAACATCACATTCTCTCCTGCATGTTCTGTGCAAAAGGGCAACCCTATAACTACCTGGGTGAAGAACCGAACCTGTTTGCCTAGAGGAAAGACTTGTGTATTAAGATTAATGTCTTTCCCCTAGTTTTGTGCCATAGGCAACCACTAACGAGGCAGCACAGAGGGCCACAGTCATCGTTACGCCCACTGGGTGTGAATGGAGTCCCACCTTACAGTGCTGCAGTGGTGGGTTCCAAAAGGTAAAGTTTGGAAGCAGAGGTGGTTTGCTGCTGCATAGTGACCCTGGACTAACCCTCTGCATAGTGACCCTGGACATCCTTGGGGGTCTCATCCAAATACTAACTAGGGCTGACCCTGCTTAGCTTCCAAGACTGGATGAGAGCAGAGTAGCCCAAACAGGGGTCGTTTCATAGAAAAAGAGCTAGGGGAACTCATTAGCATAACTCATTAGCATATGCCACACCCCTGACATCACCAGACGTGTGTCATAAGGCCACACCCCCTGACATCACCGGAGTGTGTCATAAGGCCACACACCCCGCCCCCAACGGTCCGGGCCGCCGGCGCCGGCCTTGCAGCTCCACTGCCGAGCCCCATGAGGGGCCCAGTGGTGGACCTGCAAGAGGCAGGGAGGAAGCAACTTACCCTCCCTCTTCTCCTGCCTCCTCCTGGCTGAATGAGGGCCGGAAGCGGGGCGGCCGGAAGCAGGGGGCGGCCAGAAGCAGGCTTCGTCATGTGCCCCGCCCCCGTACCTCACCCGGGGGAACTGCGATCCCCCGCGATCCCCCCCGAAATGACCTCTGAGCCCAAATCATCTAGTTCAGGTCTGATCTTGCATCATTTTGCGTTTATCACCTTAGTTTTCTCTTCTGCTGCATACTCTTCAAATTGCTTTAAAGAAAAGTCTATATAAAGGGAAAGGCATATTTCGGCAACGAAAGATGCTACGAACTTACTTTCAAAAAATGAAAGCTGGGATCAGAGGACTTGATACCTACATTGTTCTAACAATATAGCAACGTTAAAATATTCAACTGCTGATTTAAAACAACAACAACAACCTGGAAAAGCCCCAGTGGCCTGGAAACACAGGAAGCACACACGAAGCTGCCTTACAATGAATCAGACCTTTGGTCCATCAAGGTCAGTATTGTCTACTCAGACTGGCAGCGGCTGCCCAGGGTCTTAGGCAGATGTCATTCACATCATTTACTGCCTAGTTCTTTTAACTGGAGATGCCATGCTGGGGATTGAAGCAGAGCTCTTCCACTGAGCCATGGACCTTCCGGGGGTGGGGGGAGGGAGGTGGCTGCTCCTGTGAAGGTGGGGCAGGGAAACCTGCCATGTGGAAGCCCCGTTGCGCAGCAGTAATGGGGAAACCACCTAAACCCGTCCCAGTGTGAAAACCACCCAGATGAGAGTTGACTGAATTCACCCAGGACAGAGATACAGCTGCCTCCAGTGCGGGGGCATCTGCTGAGAAATGGAAATCCTCCCAAATCACCTCCGTGTAGCGGACATTAAGGCACATTTTCTCAGCCATGACAAGGAAGGAGTCAAGATGCCGTCTGCTGAGTATGACGTAAACTGGGACTCGGCGCCTGACTGCAGCATCGTACAGATCCGAGAGGATGTCGGGGTCCGTGAAAACATCCATGACTATGGCAATTACCTGGAGAAGACATGATTTGGTTTGTGTGAAAAGATGTAGGCAAACGATCTGGAATGATGCTGTGAACATAAACTAAAAATCAGTAAACAGAACAGCCATAGCCAGCCAGGGGAATTATGCAAACCCAGTGAGTTTGTGCACACATTTGCCCGATTTGCATCTTGTATACTGACTGAGCAAATTTGTTTGTCTTTGGTTCACTGACCTTTTTAGCTGCTTTCTGGGTAAGCAAGCAAACTGGCCTTCCCCTGAGCGGTGCCCTCTTTTCATTGATGGGGAGGGGGGACAGTGCACCTGAATGGGAAACCTATTGTTCCAAACATCTGGAATACAAGCTGCATTAGGCTGCAGTTGGCCTGCCCAGACTGAGAGTGGGCAGAAGACCTAGAAAGCAGCAATTTGGAATCTGGACTGGTGGAATGGGACCAAACCATAAGTTTGCTACGAATCTGGGATGGCCTGTGGTCTTGTTTCGGCACCATTGTCATACCTGCTCAGCCTGTATAATAAATAATAACAAAAATACCCCAAATCTCCAGTCTACTCCCTTAGAAAAGAAAACCTCCTAGGGGAGGGGCAATTTGAAAGAGAGTTTTGTTGGAAATTATCCAGAAATTTCCCAGTGTTGGGGATGCCCACATCTTGCCCAATTCACTAAATCTCTGTCTTTAGTTTCACAGCTTCCTGCTCTTGAGGTCTAGGCACATTCTGCTTGGTTGGTTGGTTTTAGCCTACATATACCCAGGGGTCATTTCGTAGAAAAAGAGCTAGGGGAACTCATTAGCATAACTCATTAGCATATGCCACACCCCCTGACATCAGGGGCCCGGCGGTGGACCTGCAAGGCCAGCGAGAGTGCGAGGAAGCCCCGCCAAGGCCCTCCTTGGTCCCAGGCAGGCAGGGGTGGGGAGAGTTGGGGAGGAAGCAACTTACTCTCCCTCTTCTCCTGCCTCCTCCTGGCTGAATGAGGGCTGGAAGCGGGGTGGCCGGAAGCAGGGGGCGGGGCTTCGTCATGTGCCTCGCCCCCCTGCACCTCACCCGAAATGACCTCTGCATATACCCTCCTTCATACCTTGTTGGCTTGCTGGAGACATCTGCGTACCATTTCCTTGATGTGTGGTGCTCCTTCTCCTGGTGGATGAGTGTAGACCTCAGCCCGGGTGATCCCCTTCCAAGCTCCTTCCTCTGGCCACCCCAGCTCCAGGTCTGGGGTGGGCTCATCAGATTGTCCAGGCCAGTAGCTGAGACTCGATCCTTGGTCCCCACGGTTGTGCTTCCCTGCTCCACCTGATGGGGGAGCCTGTGAGTCTTCGGCAGTTGCCGCCTCTATCAGTTCTTGTTGCTCTCCATCTGACAGAAAGGCGCGCAGCTTTTCCTGGGAGAGGCATTCTTTAAATGCATCCTTTCCTTTCGTGAGCAGGGCTTCAAGGGCCAACCTCTGACCCTCACAGTAATAAAATTCAGGATTTGATTCAGTTACTTTAGCATAAGGTTCTTCGCTCTCCAGGCACTTGACCTGGGAGCCAGCCATGATCTTTGGGATTTGGGCATAGAACTCCAGTTACCAACAACTACACTTCTGTAACTGCTGCAAGCATTTCCCACCCCTTTGCTTTGCAACCAGCCCTAATAAGTGGACCCACAGAAGGGATTCTGCCCTGCTTACAGCACCATTTTACACCCTTAAACCTGAAAACTTTTTCTAAAGATCCAGTGTAGACTGGTGGAGACAAGTGCATTCCTATCTCTCTCTCTCACTCTGTCTCCCTTTCCTAACCTTGTACCTCAACTCCACCTTCAGATGGTGGCTGGAGATGTCCCACTATTATAACTGATCAACCTGGAGCTGGCAACCTTGTTCCAAGGACGTGGCACAATTGTCAGCTGGCTTGCTACTTTACCTTAAGTATAATCCTTGCTGTATTCAGGTGAGCTCAGATCTTCATCAGCCGCCTCAGTGCCTCTTCCAAAACCACCTTTTAGGGCACACTGGAGCTTCTAATTGGTTTCTAATACACAGATGGGATACAGTGCATGGCCTCTTCCCTTGATCTGAGGACCCCAATAAAGTCAACTTCATTTGTGGTTATAGTCTGTTTCCTAATCCTAAATCGAGAGTACAAGAACCATACAGTTGGCTTGTTTCCCCCCCACTCTGTGCTGAAAGAGACCTTAGTGACTCCAAATCTCATTCATCAATCAGAGCCAGTGAGTCAGCCCATAATTTATGTACTAGTTTGATTTTAAAATCACTGCTCTAATCCTACGCACAAAATCTATACCCAGGCTCATTATACAACGTTACCTGTATCCTGTCTGCTTGAATGATACGCTGAAAGATATGTTGTGCTTGAAATTGTAGATTTCCTTAGCCGTACCAATGCTAAAGTTGATGGGCACAGAGGTGATTGTCTGTTACTCTAACATTAACCTCATCAGACTCTAAAACTTAACCAGAAACTGTTGTGGCATACCCCGTCTGCCACAGTCTTCTGTTTGGACCTTTTCTTCCTGAAACAAATTCACTAGAGCATCTCTCTCCTCAGATATATGACTGACCTCTGGAATCTTTTATGGGAAATGAGATTAGAGAGAGCTACCATTGGCGGCAGTGGGGGAAATTTCTGGATTTATGAGGCAGTGCTTTGGTAGGCGAAAATCCAAAGAAGTGGGGCAGAGTACTGGTGAGAAAAAGAAAGCGGGGGAGGGGGGTAGTTGGTGTTAGGAAAGTTCCCCTGGTTCTGTAGCGGTAAGCCTACACAATAGTGCTGAGGCCAGGACAATATTTTTCACCAGCCTCTCTCTCCTCTTTTTCCAGCTGCTGTCAACAACCACGCACACATCCACCAGGCCAAAACATTTTCTCCAGTAGTCCATCCAGAAAATCCTCTGTTCTTCATTTCAGGCACTTTTCCAGACTTGTGAGAAATGGCTTCTCATGAGAAGAAACATTTCATCCAAGTGGAGATTTCCATTCCGCTTCTTCCCTAAGACGAATCAACAACTGTGAAAAGGGAGTTTTTCAGGACCAAGCAAAAGCCATAAATTTCCCTCTGCCAATCAGGAATAGGATACCATTTGAGGATGTTTGCTCTTTTCAGTGAACTGGTAACTGGTGAGTTCTCTCCCCCTCCCCCCATTTATGGGAAACTTTCAGTTAAAGAAACAAATGAATGGGAGAAGGGGCTGATTTCAAGGAAGTCCATCACAATATTGTCAAGTGCTATTTCTTTCACTTTCATGGAAAGAGAACCTGGGGTCAAAAAATCACTTATGCTACTTCCTCTCCCCCAACTGTGCATTTAAGAAATAAACAGAAACATGGATGCGTTTTGGATAAAAAAGATGCCTTCAGAATGGAAATTCCCACTGTTCTGATCCAGTCAACAGCTGGAACAGATATCCTGAGCTGAGCCATGACAGAAAACAAAATCCCCTTGGTTAATTAACATGAGGACTCCGTTCTGGACCAATCAACAAGGAAAAGAGCTCTCTGATTCTTATAGGTCTTAAAGGTGCCACTGGACTCTAACTTTGTTCAATTCCAAGCAAAGTTATACTCTAGCCCATTGGCTTCAATGGATTTATAAGGGTGTAACTACTTAGGGGAGCTGCGGTGGCTCAAGTGGTTAAGACGCTGAACTGCAGGCTGGGGAAGGTCGGTAGTTCAGCAGTTCGAGACCTGAGTGTGCCGCATGACGGAGTGAGCTCCCGTCTCTAGTTCCAGCTCCTGCCAACCTAGCAGTTCGAAAGCAAGAAATTGCAAGTAGATAAATAGGTACCACTTCGGTGGGAAGGTAACAGCGTTCCGTGGGCCTCGGTGTTTAGTCATGCCGGCCACATGACCACGGAAACATCTTCGGACAGCGCTGGCTCTTCGGCTTTGAAACGGAGATGAGCACTGCAACCCTAGAGTCGGACTCGACTGGCTTTCGAGCAAGGGAACCTTTACCTTTAACTACTTAGGACTGCACTATTAGCCTACAAACATCTGTAGTATATTTCCTCTGATGGCTCCATACAATTCCTGGAATCTTTCCAGTTACTGAAAAGAGTGGGGAATGAAAATACAGGTGTAGCCAGATTCTACCCTCTTCCTTGAAGGACTGGAGACTCTCCTTTTTCCCCAGCCAGTTTGTTAGTTCTCTGTTCTAGTCAGAAACAAGACAATAGTGTCAGGAATTAACATGTCATTCTCATGGTTGTCAGATAATTCCAAGCTAATAGGATTTGTTTCTTTCGGAATGATTTTGGCCAGCTGGAATCACCCAGTCTGAACAACAGTTAGACTGGAGTCCAGTAACACCTTAGAGACCAACAAGGGTTTCAGGGTATAAACTTCTGAGAGTCAAAGTTCCCTTTGTCAGACACAACAGAGTAGAAATGTAGATCTGAGTCTTTTTGTCCTAGTCAGAAGGTGGGAGGGGTGTTGTAAAGAATGCTTGTATTTATTGTTTACATTGTTTCTAGTCCGCCTTTCTCACTTGGACTCAAGGCGGATTGCACAGAGTGAATCAATTCCATCAAAAGATGGAACATTCAGTAAACAATGCAATAGGACGATTGTAGAACCAACTAGAAGTCTAAAAACAGAACCGAAGCACAGCATAAGTATTAACAAGACACATTAAATAATGCAAAATTCCAAAGCAGGATCCTAATTTCAACAAGCTGTGCACAAAAGTATAGACCACAGTCCCTAATAATTTCCCTAAGTAACTTTGTGAATCGTTTAGTACAGTGTAAGTCTACTGCCTGCATAGAATGGCCCTCTTGAATAATTCAGTTTTGCATAGTTTGTGGAAAGCTGCGAGTGAGAGCCTTCCTGACCTTCTCAGGCAGGCCAGTCCACAAGGTGGGGGCACAATGGAGAAGGCATGTGTATGGGCAGGTGTCGCTCTTGCCCATTTGCAGGTTGGCACCTACAGATAAGGGGACTGCAGTGGCTCAGTGGTTAAGATGCTGAACTGCAGACTGAAAGGTCAGTAGCTTGGCAGTTCGAGACCTGAGTGCTGCGTGATGGAGTGAGCCCTCGTCTCTGGCCCTGGCTCCTGCCAACCTAGCAGTTCAAAAGCAAGAAATTGCAAGTGGAGCTGTGGTGGCTCAAGTGGTTAAGACGTTGAGCTGCAGGCTGTGGAAGGTCAGTAGTTCAGCAGTTCGAGACCCGAGTGCGCCGCATGATGGAGTGAGCTCCCATCTCTAGTTCCAGCTCCTGCCAACCTAGTAGTTCGAAAGCAAGAAATTGCAAGTAGATAAATAGGGATCACTTTGGTGGGAAGGTAACAGCGTTCCGTGCGCCTTGGTGTTTAGTCATGCCGGCCACATGACCACGGAAACGTCTTCGGACAGCGCTAGCTCTTCGGCTTTGAAACGGAGATGAGCACCGCAACCCTAGAGTCGGACTCGACTGGCTTTCGAGCAAGGGAACCTTTACCTTTAAATACCTTTGGTGGGAAGGTAACAATGTTCCGTGCGCCTTGACGTTTAGTCATGCTGGCCACATGGCCACGGAATTGTCTTCGAACAGCACTGGCTCTTTCGCTTGGAAACTGAGATGAGCACCGCCCCCTAGAGTCAGACTCGATTGGCTTTCGAGCAAGGGAAACCTTTACCTACAGATGACCCTACTCCAATGAGCGCAGCTGTCATGGTGGAGCATAGAGAGAGAGGCGGTCTTGCAGATATGAGGGTCCAAGGCCTTGAAGGGCTTTGTATGTGATAGCTATACCTTCAATTGAGCTAGTAGCTGATGGACAGCCAATAAAGTGCCTTCAGGATAGCAGTAATATGCATGTTCCGTCTAGCTCCCAAGCCACGGCATTCTGCACCAGCCCAAGTTTCCAAATTGATTTTGAGGGGAGACCAATGTACAATGCATTGCAGTAGTCTAGTCTCAGTGTTACTGTGGCATGGATCCAGGTGGCCACATCAGCCATATCACCATAAGGGGACATCTTTGGGGCTAGCCTGAGTTGGAAGAAAGCCTTTTTAGTAACTGCATTAACTTGTTTCTCCAGTAAAAAATTTGGGTCCAATATAACCCCAAGGCTCTTAACTGAGTCAGCCAGGCTCAGCTGAACTCCATCGAAAGTGGAGAGCACAGTGTACTTCAAGATCTCTGCCTTCCCAGCCAACATTACCTCCGTCTTTTCAGAGTTTACTTTCTATTTGTTTATTCTTAGCCCATTTATCACAACAGCCAGGCAATTATTCAGGACCTCTACTAGCAGTTCGAAAGCAAGAAATTGCAAGTAGATTAATAGGTACCACTTCGGGGGGAAGGTAACAGCGGTCCGTGCGCCTTGGTGTTTAGTCATGCCGGCCACATGACCACGGAAATGTCTTCAGACAGCACTGGCTCTTCGGCTTTGAAACGGAGATGAGCACCGCAACCCTGGAGTCGGATTCGACTGGCTTTCGAGCAAGGGAACCTTTACCTTTACTATATGACCAGGGGACGGAGGTCATCAACTAAAATTTTAAGTGCAGTTTCTGTTCCGTAGCCTGGCCTGAAGCCAGACTGAGAAGGGT